TTCGGAGAGACGATATCTCACTCCACCCCACCCCCACCTCATTGTAGGTGATCAAAATATAATTTACCATTGCCCTACATAAATGTTGGTCAGATAAAATTTGTCCCCTTCAAACGAATATGAATATCCCTTCTAGATCAGACTAAGGCCAAGTTTGGAAATAAGTACACTTTTTGACTTTTTATGAAATATGGGTTGGATTTGGGTTGAGTTTGAAGTGATGTGTTAGAGAGGTGATGTGACTTAAATAAGATGATATGACTTAAATAGGATAGTGACTTTTTGACTTTTTAAATTTTTTTAGAAGATGCCAAACTTAGCCTAAAATGATGATCCCTTTCACCTAGTGCACGTATGACCACTCTTATACCATATCAGACATGCGACCTAGTCATATGGAGTATTATTCACTATGACCAAACCTAACACCTGGCCTCATAAGTCTGGACTTAAACTCAAAAAGTGCATCCACAATGGAAGTATCATGTGCATCGTTTATTAGTTCACTATAAACATAGTCCGCAAGTAGTGGTGGGCAATGGTTTATCTGAATCGCTCAAACCGCTCAATTCGCCCAACTCGCATATAAATGGGCGGTTTCGCAAACATAATGCGGGCGGATGCGGTTTGAAATATGACAAATTTGCTGGTTGCGGGCGGGTCGCGGGTTAAACCCGCAACCCGCAAAAACCGCCCGCACTTTAATTATCATTATTATTATTATTTATATACCAACTTTGTAAATTTAATAGGAGCACCATTATGTTCTCTATGACACTACAATCCTTATTTTTAAGTATTTCTCAACTTTCTTAATGCCGTAGAATTAACAAGTCCTAAACTTGGTTTCTTATATGATTTTCATTGGTGACTCTCTTATATGATTTTCATTGGTGATTCATCCACTTTTTCCTAATAAAATTTTCCTTCTAATGGTCGATGGAACTTATAGTTTGATTATTGATTACTGAACTGGCAATTCTAATTGAGTACAACCTTTAATGGATTGATATACATTTTTTTCATGGCAAAAATGCTAGTGTAGGGTCTGTTTGTTTTGGGTACTTTCATTTAATGCATTGATATTCAATTTTTATTTGTAAACTCATCAAAAAATTGTTATCACAAATATATAGAATGAATCTGATGCCTAAATTCGTTGGGAAAAAAAAACTCGAAAATTAATTTTTAAAGAAAAAAGTGTAAACCGCAAACCGCCCGCAACCGCCCGCACATTTGCAAACCCTATCCGCACAAACCGCAAACCGCACTGCGGGCGGTTGCGGGTTGACTTTTTCCCAAACCGCATAGATGCGGGCGGGTCAAAACTGAACCGCAAACCGCACAAAACCGATCCGCAAACACCCTTATCCACAAGCAATATGGGAACGAGTATAAAAACATAATTTGCATGATGATATTAGTACGAAATCATTATTTCGTTCATTCTAAGAAAAAAAATTTGTTATGTTTTTTATTTCCATTTTCATGTTTTTAGAAACAAGTTGGTTGTTTTTTTAAAAAAAAATTCCATTCCAAACAAATTTATTTTTAATTTCAAAATTGAAAACAAAAAGAAAAGCCTTGCCATACCAGTTGCCGTCATCGTTGGTCACCTTTCAAATTGTTATGCTTAATTTGTGAAGAAAATTAATTGATTAATTTTTTTTTCATATTAAAAATATTAAAGTGTAGCTGTAGAATCATATTTGATTATCATTCGAGAATGGAGACTTGGTTTTCATATCCATAAATAATTAATAATTTGATAAAACGTGAAAATGTTACCAAAATATATCTTCATGTGATTTTCTTCAGCTTTGCTTGGAATTCCAGCAATAGTTTATTTGGGCGAGTAATGTTAGGAATCATGAAAAAAATGTTATAAAGATGATCGTGAAAAATTCTTTACCTTTGAATTACACATATAATAAAATATCATATACTAATCAAATGATGAAAAATCTTCATGATGCATTTCATGATATTTTTTTCATGATCCCTAATATAATTTATTTGGGCATGTTAAGTGCACTTCTCTGAAACCAAGGAGTTGACTTAGTGGATGTAATTAAGGGTTTAGGGTGTGCTTCTTTTAAGTTTCAGGTTTAACTCTTATTAGGAACAATCCATTCCTTAAGGTCACACCTGCGGGTTCTACCCGATCCACGTGAAGGGGTGCTTTATGTGAGTCTCGAGATTAGTCGAAGTGCAAGTAATTTGACTTGAATACTCTGTCATTAGAAAAAAAAAAAAAAAAAAAGACGGTGCACTTTATCTCATTATTTGTTAATAATTTATAAGATATTAAGACTAATTGCGACACAGAGTATACAAACAATAAATGAGATGATTTCAGCAAGATTTTCATTCTTTAAAAAAAATTATTAATCAAAGAACATGGGAAAGACAAGATAAAAGGTGATAATTTTAAATATCTAGCCATGACTCAAGAGCTACACTTTGCTTCATGGTGCAACAAATATTATTTTATTTTATTTTATTTTTTTGGAAATAAATTTTTTTTTTAATATACGTTATATGAGGTGTATTTTTCAGAACAATACATCTAAGGTGAAAAACATCTATGGAGTGATTTACAGTAAATTATAAATACATTTATGAGATTTGTTTAAAATATAAATTGTTGCTTGTGGTTTTGAAGATTATATTCCATCCTTTTAAGTCAATTAATAGTCTTTAATAATTTCAAAAATATATTTCAATTAACAATTCATGTAATTTTATTATAGAGGAGAGTAGTTATAAATTTTATTTTTATATTAATTCCGTTAAATAAAAAATTATGATAAGGGGATATTTATAATTTTCACAATCATAGGGAAAAATTCATATTTTAAACAAATTTTAGGAGATGTATTTATAATTTATCCAAAAGAAAATGGGGAAATGCTACAAAATTACGTAAATTTTTTTCGAATTTACATAAGTGATCTCATAAAAATATGTAAGTTGAACACAAATTCGCGAAGTTCGTAAAAACTTACTTTATTAAGCGAATTTGTATTCAATTTATGCATTTTTATGAGATCATTTATGTAAATTTATGAAAATTTATATAATTTTATATAGAATTACATATTGTATACAATGCATATACGGGAGAATTTTTCAGAAGGATGAAACGAATAAGAGTGTTACATTCTGTAAACAGCCAAACCCAAAGAACAGAAAGTCTACTGATGTGAGGATCGAATGAAAGTAACAATCTACTAATTATAGTAGTCTCATTGAAGATCAAATACCCAATCAGTTTCTGTAAAAATGATATTCCACAATCTCCATTCATACTTCAATAATCATGTGTACAAAATATGATTATTTTGAAATAATTGTGCGCGTGTGTGGTGTTATTTTAAAGAATAGACACAGTGATAGCAAGTAACCAATTACATTGCATCAAGAATGAATGCGGTGTTGCTAGATAACTATGTTTATAGCATTATTTGTAGGATTATACCAATGTTTTGAAACTTAATTTTTAAATTTTTTTGGAGGGGCAAAGTTTTTATATTTTTATACTTAATTAAACAGAAAAATTGCAGCTTGTTAGAGACTTGGAAAAAATTATTAGATATTCTCAAAATCAGAAGTGTTACTGACCTCACGATCCCCACGCACCTGAGAGAGAGAGAACCAAAATAATAATAATAATAATAATAATAATACATAATGAGTGGTTACCAATCAATCATAAGACATGAGAGTCCCCCGTTTTAAGGGTCTCAAGCATTAATGTTCTCAAAAATATCATTTAATTAACATTATTCACATGATAATTTTAATTATAAAAAAAAAAATCACAATACATGAGTCCTAACAAAAAGATAGACCAACAAGATAAATATTGGGTATTTCCACGACAGCACGTAACATTAGTAAGTGGTGGTCCACCAAACCAAGCTACGTTGACTTTTTCGATCAAATTTGATGACTTATTTTTGTTAGATAATTAATAGAAAAGTAACAATACATTTAGAGTAAATTTTATTAGGAGCCCCGTACCGGTAACATTACATAATACTTTGAGGTATGTTTGATTGGGTGGATTAAAGTATGAGATTAAGATTATTAATCTGTGAGTCTAATTATTTTATGTTTATTTTAATATTTAAATTTAGAATTATTAATCTAATGGATAATTAATTCAATAAATTTGTAGGATTATTAGTAATGAGGTAGGGGTGAGATTATTAATTCAATGGATATTAATCCAATTAGATAGTGAATACTATACTAGTTTAATAAGATTATTAATACTTCACTATTAATCTTGTGAATCAAACATGACCTGAGATTATTAATAATTTTTCAAGTCACCTGTAAAATTTTATGTTACATGATATAATATATAATATTTTAAAACTACTTAATAATTATATGTGACTTAGGTCTATTTTGAAAGGGTGGTAAAAAATAATTTTTTGATTTTTAATTAAGTTTTTAATTTTTCTAGATAAATGATTTGGAAAGTTAGTAAAAAATAGCTTTTGATTTTTTTATTAATATTTGTTTATGATGTCAAATCATAATAAAATAACCAAACTATTTCTATTTAGTTTAAAATATTTATAACTTTCCCTATATAACAAATTTTGACCCATAAAAGGTAGAATTGTAATTTTACCATTAGCTAAAAACCAAATTTTCAAATGAAAAAAAATTAAAAAAAATCAACTTTTAACTTTTGTTACAAATCAAAAAAAAAAAATTGTTAAAAATTAACTTCTCAAAAGCCTTAGTAATTAAAAAAAAAAATCGAAAATTGTGAATGAATAATTGGAAAGAGAGAAAATAATAAATGAATTGAAAGAGCACAGTTGAAAAGTAACGTGATAAGACAAAAGCAGAAATGTGTCAGACATTAATATGTAACTGCATTTCTAAAAGTAATTAATTTTTTTTTAAAAAAAATAAAATTATTTAGCCGACAAAAGCCCATCCCTTCGTTTGACTGTCATATATATATATATATATAAACAAACTCTAACTGAAAAAGCAGCATACCAAAGCAAAGCTAAAACGAGTGTTTTTGGCCAAAAAACACTCAAAGATGGCTTCAAATTTGGGGGGGTTGGAGGATGAAGAAAGCCATGGTGGAAGTAGAATTCAACCTCTCTCCTCCACACCAATGTAAGCTCCTTCTTTCGTCACCATGATTTCACTTTTTGAGAGTTTTGTCCAATCATTTTTTATTTTATTTTTAAATTTTTTTTGCAGGTCGGAGCAATGGAGAATTGAGGAAGGGAAGCAACAAACTTGCACTACATTGGGTGAGAGGCTGGGCTTCAAGGACTTGTTTTCCTTGAATGTAAGTCCAATTTTACATGCAACTTATTTGGCTGCCAGTTTTTTTATTTTTTATTTTAATAACTCGATATCCCGCTTTAAATATCAACTAATACAGGTGATTAATTTCACCATCTGAGGCCCAACCCGTATGATTTGGCTTCAAGAAATTATTTACGCTTACAATATTTCGAAAGCTCTAGGCCTACACCACCATGCCAACTTCTTAGATTTTTGGCTGCTAGTTTTAAGTCATTTTTTCTTTTCTTTTTTTTTTAAATAATATATTTTTTTATTTCATTTTTTTTGACTTGAAGATCATGAAAACTAATAGATATACATATATATTTTGTGTGTGAAAAGAATCTACTAAAAAGAAGAATAATAAACATCTATTTCTGTTAGGAAAACGCAATGCTTATTAGCAGGAAAGGACGTATGATTCTAATACAGCAATACTAGGTATCATGAAAAATCTTTCATGAAAATAATCATAAAAACTTTATGACCTTTGGATTACACTTAGAATAAAGCACTACACACTAATCAAGATAATCCAAGGATCATAACTTTTTTATGATCATTTTTATGAAAAAAATTTCATGATCCCTAACTTTTCTCATTCTAATATCGGGGGGCGAGTGTATATGCAATCAAAAAATTTATACTGAGCATGTGATATACAATATCAATTTCTACCCAAATATCACAAAAATATATAGACAAACTGTTACTTAAGAGAAATGTCGACCACAATTCACTCACAAGTTGTGCCTACTTGTGAATCACTTGTGTATGAATTGTGATTGATTTCTGTATAAATAGTATCGCTAATAACTACTTGAATTGCGACTTGTTACTAGTTTTATTATGTTCAGTTTTCATATTTCCTAACACCAAAATGTTATTAGGTGTGGCGAGCATCAATGGGGGAACTCCTTGGCACATCAGTGCTTGTTTTCATGCTCGACACCATAGTCATCTCTACTTATGAAATAGAAACCAAAACTCCGAACCTCATAATGTCAATCCTAATAGCTCTTACCATCACAATCCTACTTCTCGCCGTCTTCCCGGTTTCCGGTGGCCACATGAACCCGATCATATCCTTCTCTGCCGCCCTTGTCGGCATAATCTCCATTTCGCGGGCTGCTATCTACATTGTGGCCCAATGCCTTGGAGCTATTCTAGGAGCCCTAGCACTCCAAGCTGTGGTAAATAGCACCATTGAACAAACTTTCTCACTTGGGGGTTGTACTCTCACAGTCATTGCACCTGGGCCTCAAGGGCCCATAACAACAGGCCTCGAGACAGGCCAGGCCTTTTGGCTCGAGATAATATGCAGCTTTGTCTTCCTTTTTGCTTCGGTGTGGATTGCGTTCGATGGTCGCCAAGCGAAGGCATTGGGCCATGTCATTGTTTGTACCATCATTGGGCTTGTGTTGGGCCTTTTGGTGTTTGTCTCGACAACGGTCACGGCGACGAAGGGTTATGCTGGGGCTGGGATGAACCCAGCAAGATGTTTGGGCCCAGCAGTGGTGAGAGGAGGCCACCTTTGGAATGGGCATTGGGTGTTTTGGGCTGGGCCAGCCATTGCTTGTGGGGCATTCTACCTATACACAAGGATCATTCCACATCAGCACTTTCATGCCACAGGGTACAAACATGACTTCTTGAACATGTTTAAGGCTTTGTTTGTGTCAAGTTGTGGTCACAAGTAAAAATGTATTATAAAAAAAATAAAAAAAACATATATCTATATACATAAAATTAAATTACAAAAAAGCATTGAGGATGAAATGTTGGTACAGAGATAAGACAATCAGAATGACATCCAACGAAGTGGATCCCATTGTGCTGAAATATTCATTCTCTATACTTTTATGTGTTTTAATTTTATGTACTTAGATTAAATCAATATCCAATGGTGATCACAAGCTTTGTTCTTGGTGTTGAATATGTCTAATAATGTGTTATGTTGTTCACTTGGTTGGTTCTATGCCTAAATGTTATGCATGACTTAACGCATATGTATTATGAGCGTTTACTATGGATTTTGGTCACAAACATCACCTTTATTGCCATGACAATGAGCCAATGATCAAATATATGTCTTTCATTAAATATCCTCAATCTTTAATTAACTTATGAAGTGGTTGATATATCCAAATTCAGAATATTCAATGCTTTGTCTGGTTGAATGCTTTGTTAAGGAAAAGGAAAAGAAAGAGAGGGAAAAAAAAAAGAGGGAATATGAAGGTGAGGAGGCAAAGTTTATATTATTATTGGGTTGGACTAAAATAATGAAAGGATAGTTGCTTTAATAAATCTTTTAATTTTGATCTTCTTGAGATTTTATATTTTTAGACTCTTCATCGTATGGGTGTATACCCAATTATACAATCGAATCTCAAAATTGTTACTCAACTCAAGATTGACTTTTATCTGCTCTTTTCGTTTGTTCGAATCATACGATTAAGGAGTGTTGTTTGATTGTCGGATTTACATTCCTAAGATAATCTAAAAGACCTTGCTTAGGGTATAATTTTTTATTATTTAGAAAAAAAAACAAAAATGCATTAAATATAGTAAAATATGGATTTTGGATGGAAAGGATTCATCAATAGTATTTGGCCAACATTTTGAAGGTTTTGCTCGTGTAGTTTGTGTAAAGTGATCACATCACAAGTAGACATGAATTTGGTGGCTAGCTCATGTGTACCTCCATTTATCTTTTATTTGTATGATCAATTGCTTAGTTAGCTCTATGCCTATAATTTATGACTTATCTCAATATTTTTATTTTTTATTTATTTAACAATTTTTGCTATGGATTTGATGGCAAAAGAAAAACGTACTTGGTGATAGGATCAAGTATATACCATTTCACGAAAAGAAAATGATATAAAAATTTATTTTTTTAAATTTAATGATGTTTAAAAGAAATAATTAATTAATAATTAAAAAAATATGAAAAATAATTATCTTAAATATTTTAATAAATTATTCTCATTAGATTTAAAAAATAAATTTAAGTTTTAAATTACAGTAACAATAATCTTTTCCGAATTATCAACAATGATTGTTTTCCAAATTCACGAGATTAAAAAAATAAAATAAACAATAATATAATCTATGCATGCCAAAAATACATAAAATGTGTGTACAAAATTTAATGTGTGGATAACATTCATTGACAGGTCTTGAGTGTGCATAAGTTGACAAAACTACTGCCCAATAGCATCATTTCCAATGGATTCTTTCAACAAGGCATGTTATTAGTTATTATAGGGGTGAATTACATTAATCGTCTTTATAATTTAAAATTTATATTATTTTAATTTTTAATTTTTTAATTATAATATATTTGATTTTAAATTTTAAATTTTGTTTTAAATAAGGACAATTGAAGATATTATTAGATTTTTCAAGAGCAAATTCGTCAATTTGATAAAATATAAATTAATTTGACAAAAATAAATGTCAAAAAATTATTTTTGAATTTTTAAAAATTATTTTCACCTGCTAAAGATAAAATTATATAAAATTGATAAATCTTTTAGACATTTATTTTTTTTTACGAAATTAATTTTTGTTATGTATTTAGATGATGATCATGTAAAATTAATTTTTAAAAATTAATCACGTAATTTTTATTAATTTTTATCAATTTTACATAATTTTATCTTTGGTGGGTAGAAATAATTTTTAAAAATTTTAAAATATTTTTTTGGCATTTATTTTTGTCAGATTAGTTTATATTTTATCAAATTGACGATTTTGCCCTTGAAATTAAGCAATGGTATGTTCAATTGTCCTAATTTGAAACAAGATTCAAAATTCAGGATCAAATGTATCACAATTGAAAAGTCAGGGACTAAAGTGACATGAGTCCCAAACTATAGGGACTATTAGTGTAATTTGCCATTATTATAGTTAGAATCACCATACACATTAAAGTATTTTTAATGGTTATTATTGGAACGGTTATTTTTATAATTTGGTAGCTAGAGATAAAAAGTGTGTTTTAATGGTTGGTTATGGCAGCTGTCTTATGTATCAACTCGGGCAAAACTTCACTTCTAACAAAATAGATAAATTTTTATAAAATTATCATTTTTGCAGAACCAAATACAAAAATTGGTGTGTTTGAAACAACTGGTCGGTCATTTGGTCGATCGTCCAAACACACTAGTTTTTGTATTTGATTTTGTCAAAATGGCATACCATTACTATAATTCTACCATTTCTACTATAATGGTAATACTAGTATAGCATTTGCCATTGGAGATACTCTTATTAGCTACAAAACTATTATTAGCTATTTAGTCACTCAAACGAGCTAGTTATTATAATAGTTAGAGTTGGGTATAGGGTTATCCGACTTGCGAAAACTGCCTAACCCACACCCGTCCACACCTATTTGGGCGATTTCGCATAATCGTTAGAGTCAGATACTGATTATAATTTTTTTGTTTTGCAGGTTGTGAGCGGGTCGCGCGCACCCGCACTCACCGGCCTGCATTTGTATATATTGTTTAGCTTATATTTTTTTTGCAAAGTATGAGTCAATTAACTGGTCCTGACCTGTACTTATGGTTTGTTTTCTTCTGGAAGTAAATTGGATAGATAGGCTGTAATTTATTTAGGATAAATCATTTGAAAAATAATGATTTCATGATAAGAAATATGTAATTTTATGGCCCAAAATAATATTTAAAAAAGGGAGGGAAAGGCCCAAAAAGAATATTTAAAAAAAGAAAAAAAAAAGCAAGACCAAAAATAAAATAAACAATAATATAATCTATGCATGCGAAAAATACATAAAATGTGTGTACAAAATTTAGGTTAAGTTTGGCAATCTAAAATAAGTACACAATTTTTATTTTTTTATCTTTTTTCTATCACATCATCTCTCTATTTTTCTGTATATCTTTTTATAAAAAGATAAAAAACACGCTTATTTAAGTCATCCCAAACAACCGTTAATGTGTGGATAACATTCATTGACAGGTCTTGAGTGTGCATAAGTTGACAAAACTACTGAATCCGGATCCTCGGCCGTCGACGACCGTTCCCAGCAGCCCCCCAAAACGACGTCGTTTTGGGGGTTTTCTGATTTTTTTTTTTGTTCTTTTTTTGCAGGTTGTGAGCGGGTCGCACCCACCCGTACTCACCGGCCCGCATTTGTATTTATTGTTTAGCTTATACTTTTTTTGCAAAGTAAATATGAGTCAATTAACTGGTCTTGACCTATACTTATGGTTTGTTTTCTTCTGGAAGTAAATTGGATAGATAGGCTGTAATTTATTTGGGATAAATCATTTGAAAAATAATGATTTCATGATAAGAAATATGTAATTTTATGGCCCAAAATAAAATTTTAAAAGAAAAACCCAATCCGCAAACCGTCCGCAATCACTCGCACATCAACGAGTCTTATCTACACAAACCGCAATTCGCACTGCCGGCGGTTGAAGATTTAATTTTTTCTAAACCATAGACATGCGGGTGGGTCAAATCGCAAATCTAACCGTCAAAAACAGATCCACGAGCACTCCCAATAATAGCTATTTTAACAAAATTGTTCAAGATTAGTTACATTTGAAGAGTCATGGGTGACTCTTAAAACAGTTTGTGTGTATAGATATGTAAAATAAATAGTACGATTGGAGCACAGATAAAATATGAATTACGCAAAATAAAAAAAATATATATATTTTTTTATATATTTGAACTGGTAAAAAATGAAAAGTATGATTAGAATTGCTCTAAGGTACCAATGTTTTGTGATTACTAAAAAGTGTTATATATATTGAGTCTTTGCAAACTTGTTTTTTGATAAAGAAAATTATCATATTACCTTTGTAGTGTAGAAAACCATGGTTCTTGAAGTGGGTGTAAGGAGGTTTGATGTGAGCAGTGATTAAGAGAATAACTAGAGAGGCAAAACTATATCAATGGTTCAAAAATGGTGGGATGATTGAAAGATAAGCAGCTAGGTGAGGATGAAGCAAGTGACTCAAGAAAAAAGGAATGACAGTGCATAAATGGGCAGCATCTCCCTCAAATTCGCAGAAAATCCTCCTTTGGATCTTGGAAAATGAGTCCTATTTATAGGCTTTCATTGGCACCAAGAGGATACCAGGTGGCCAAATAAATCGAGGATATGTGTCCCTAAGAATTACATGGAATATTTTACCTTGAGCCACTAAGCTGAAGATGCCATGCATCCCTCTGCACGTACTATGTACTATTTGTTTGGCACAGATGCCTCGACAAGTGCACTTGTGGCAAAAGTCTTTGTCGCTGTAACTTGCCTTCTTAGCTTGAACCTTAACAAGTACACTTGCGGCGATAATGTTTGCCGCTGCACTTGCTTTCTCAATTCAGTTTAGCCAAAACATGCATTCTTAGGACTTTATAGCCTACTATTAGCCATGTTTTGTATTCACCTCAGTGAAGCCTCCACCCTAAGCCACCTAACCACAAACTTTCTAGCTTCCTAGGGTGAAGGCCATAGCCAAGCGTACTATCAGCCATGTCGTGTCTTAGTACCAAGCCCAAGGGGGCTTCTTTGGTCCTGGTTATGCTACCAAGGCAAGTCTATGACTTGGGTGGATGGAAAGGAAGTCCCTTACACTCGGGCTGCCTTGCTCCCATCTTCGCAGGGTCACCGCGGTATACTGGTATCTCTAGACTTGCTATCAGTTTCAACCAGTAAGCTTTGGGCCCTGCTATCAGCACTATGCTAGTAATACTTTGGGGCCTGCTATCAACGCCAAGCATTAGCCTCTATTTGTGGAGGGAAGCGCTTCCCAAAGGTTGCTATCACATTGGTGGGGTTTTTCCTCTGCAAGTTAGTTGCGATGGTTGTAGTTGTTGCGGCGGCGGTAATTGCTGCGGTAGCCATTTCCCGTGGCGAACTCAAATGGCGGCGTCGACAATACTAGAGATGGCGGTGCTGACGAAGTACCTCCGCAACTTGGCCGCTGCTAGTGTTGCTTCTGCAATTCAGTTGTTCCAGTTTTCTCTTTTCCTCACCAACTTCAGATGGCAACGACATTGGCAATACTTGGAATGGCAGTACTGAGACAAAGTGCCTTAACAACTTGACCGTTGCA